TCCAGTGCAAATTGGCTTGGAGCTTATTTATTCCTAATTACTTCATGAACACCAGAAGAGAGGGAAGCGCCTCTGCTTATCTTAAAGGAAAGCTAAGCAGGATGCTGTGAGTCACAGAAACTACCCCAGTGTTGTTCATTTCAAATTTAAAGATGATTCCACTTTCCCAAATCCCAAAACAATATTTTGTAGCATGGGAAATTAGTAAACTACCAGTGTGCACCTAAGAGGAAAAATTTGATTGAGCCATGCCACCAAGCCAGGCAGCTGGGACAGAAGCCGATGGCCAGTAATTCTGAAAATGCCCCAGCAAAGAAATGATGCCAACCTTGGCTCTAGATGCAGAAAGAAACTGTTAAAAGATTATTTGGTTCTGAGAAATAACCAGAGTTGTAATAGCGCAGTTCAGTTCTGCTCCATGGTGTATTGCAGGTGCCATAACCATGCCCACAGGACAGTCCCTGAGGCCAGCCAACTGCAGGGCTGGTCTGCCAATCACAGACTGCACCTTCTCCAGCAGGCAGGATTGCTCTGCTGATTACAACTCAGAAGAAACAGGTGCAGCGTTCCTTGAAGTTGCCTGTGAGGAGACAAACTATGAATCTGAAATAAGTGGTATATATTTTGCCATGGGATCATTATTTTCAAGGTAGACACAAATAGATACATAATAAAGATTTTAATAAAAACATTCGCAGTCAGAAAAGTGTGTTTTAGAGCTGGGTGTGCTGACAAATGCCTGTAATCCCAGCACTCAGGAGGTCAAGGCAGGAGATCACCATGAGTTCAAGGCCAGACTTGCCTCCACTGTAAGATCAAGGTCAGCCTGAACTCTGGGGACTCATTGGTTCCTCGCTTGGTGTACCCCAGCGAAGAACTGTGGCAGGAATGAGGGGAAGATAGGCAACAGAAAAGAGCTGGGTTCCGGTGGAGGCCTGTTTGCCTGATGGGCAAAGGACCTAAGCGCCACATCAGGGCTTTATTTATACTCTCGGGAAGTTAGTATCAGGAGACACAAAGTCATCTAGAGACTCATGATGTTTTTCCCGAGATTGAGGTAGCTTGGCTGCTTTTGGCATTGTGCATTGTCCTGCCCTCCACTATGACCAATTTCAAGCTTTCGCTGCTCCCAGCATCTCTCCCTTTTTCTGTTTTATTGTGTGAATGATGGGTGTTTCATCTCAGTTGGAAAAGCTGTGTTGAGAGAACTCTGTAGAAGAGAACTCCGTAGAAGACCTTTCCATTCTTGATGAACTTATTCATGTATGCTAAAGATTT